TCAGATACGTGTGTTAATGTTAAGGCTTGTGGCCAGCAGGCACATCTCTAGCTCTGAGGAAGGGGGTTCAGCTCCCGAAACGCGTCAGCTCATTCGCATTATTAGACACAGATGTTTTGTGACTGTCTTTGTGGACCACATACACTGCTTATATTCACGTTGGTTTGTGAGTATATATCCTCTTTTTATTCAATAAAACACGTGTTTTACCACGGTAATGCACAATGAGAGTGCGCCCTTGTCTGTTCTTTTTCATCAGTAAACCATTCAATGAGTGTGGAACATGTAAAGTAGGAATAAATAAAGTCCATTTATAAATAACGGTGAAGTAAAAACTGAAGAATTGTACATGGAATTATAGGCACGACAATCACGGTGAAACACTGTGAAGTGATCCAATAGGGAATCCACCACCTCTGTCAGATGTACACTCACCAGACATCTACTGGTAAACAGCATGTAAGCACATCTCATCTGGACATAGGAAACAGCAATGAAGCCTCTGTATGGAATGCTCAGCCAAGGGCAAACTGCAGGTGGACCCTCTCCTATGAAGAATAGCTCACCAAAGGAGCCAGAAATTGTATATAGTGTAGTATTTTATTAGGTAATAGATAAAAAGACAATCCACATGGAGGACAGATAAAATAATGGTAAATAGAGTACCAAGAAGTTAGCCGCTCCGACCTTCGGCAATGGCGGCGTGACGTCAGCAAGTGCGGCTCCACCCGACACATTTCATGCGCAGGCACGTCTTCAGGGATACGCCCAACCCTGAGTGGGCATACCCCTGAAGACATGCATGTGCACAAAACGTGTCGGGTGGAGCTGCACTTGCTGACATCACGTTGCCAAAGGTCGTAGCGGTGGCCATCTTGGTACTCCATTTAGCGTTACTATATCTGTCCTCCACGTGGATTGTCTTTTTATCTATTACCTAATAACATTCTACACTATATACAATTTCTGGCTCTTGTGGTGAGCTGTTCTTCATAGGAGAGGGTCCACCTGCAGTTTGCCCTTGGCTGAGCATTCCATACAGAGGCTTCATTGCTGTTTCCTATGTCCAGATGAGATGTGCTTACATGCTGTTTACAAGTAGATGCCTGACAGAGGTGGTGAATTCCCTATTGGATCACTTCACAGTGTTTCACCGTGATTGTCATGCCTATAATTCCACGAACAATTTTATAATTCTTACTTCACCGTTATTTATAAATTGACTTTATTTATTCCTACTTAAGATGTTTCATTTTACTATTCCACACTCATTGAATGGTTTACTGATGTTTATGTTTCCTTTTATATGCTGCAATTGACTGTTCCGTTGATTATTTTTGCTGCTATATTTCAGATTAGCACGGCACTTTATTATTTCACACTGATCCTTGTGTTTCCTTAATATTGTGCCGACGTCACCCATGCATGTCTGGAGCCGGCACCAGTGGTGTTTATGACTTACAAGCTTGTTTGTCTTTGAAGTTTCAGATCACAATAAGAGAGGAAGAGAGATACAAAAGTCTGTGACACCTCTTTTCCATCTAGGATGTTACAGGCAAGATATGTTCAGCATCATTCTTTGTTAGACCATCTATAATCGGGTCTAACTATTCGATAAGGAGCAATGTGTTTTTGTGGTGGTGGGCACGAGAATCTATTTCACTACACATGTGGAGGGTTATTGTGGACAGCTGTTCATCATAATTGGAATTTTGTCCTCAAGAGACTTTTTAATTGTTTGGTGATTCATGCATTTTGACTTAATTATAATATTGGTTGGAGTACATTTAAAGTATAAGTGACTCACTATTAGTAGATTTTTTACCAATAGTGCAACAACAACTGGATATCACTTATTGATTATTTGTGTTTGGTATTTATGAATGTGGCAATTGTTTTCCCTGTTTTTGTTTTGTTTTATGGTTCACAATTTTCTTGGACTGTTTTTGGCACTCAGCACAGTTACATGCTTTTCATAATCATACATAGCTAGTGACGTTCCCAGGATCTTGGCTTTTTTATGATTTGAGATTAATTGGGGGGCAAAAGTTGCCGGGGGGGGGGGGGGGGGGGGGGGGAGGGGGGGGGTGGGGGGCCCCATTTAATGGCAGTAATGATACCAATACTAACTGAATGACTTTAGGTAGGCCATAGATGATGCGACTTTCTGTCGCAGGAGAGAAAATTGCTCAATCCTGACTAGTGGGCATACTGGTCATCTCTGGCCATTTAGTTTGCCTATATGGCAAATTGTGGTAGCTTGGGTTTGTGTCAAACTCATTGTCTACCCAGACTCAAAGCTCATACCTAATGTCCGAAAGTGCAGTGCTGGAGGTACCTGTCATGTTTTACCAGTGGAACATTTAGGCTTGGTAATTATGGTTTCTGCAACTTATTGCGAACTCCTTTTAGTACTTTCCTAGCATTTGTAATTAGTTATTCAGTGCAATGAAACATTTAAAAAGTGTTCCAAATGTTGTCAAATCAGTAAGAAAACAGGTAAAGATATAGAAGTATTTAATAGTTATAGAGGATATAATAAATGCTTGAAAACATCCTACTAACCATTTAATAACTGCCCCCGATTTGGGGGAATTTGCAAGTGAGCACACGTAACTATATGCAGCTGATGGTAAAGGATGCTGCAACCTAATAACTAGGCACTTATCAACTGTCTGCATGTGTTTTGCCTTGAGACCACATTGAAAAATTCCTCCTCCTGTAAGTCCTGTTGAGTGCACCTTCTGCCTGCTGCATATTCAACTGTCTACATGCGTATATGTGTAAAATATGCGCATTTTATTATAACCAAACCAAATTTTTCACCTAAATATCCCTACAGAAGCACACAGATATTGTGTCAATGCTTTTGTACTTTGCTTTCAATAGAAATCCATCTTTTTATGAAAAACCAAAAGATAAAATGAAATCTGAATGCATATCATGCAGTATAGGTTATCAATGCCCAACTCCAACCACAATATTTTTACAATTTTGGATAGAAAAAGAAAGGGGAAAAAAAAATGTTTATTGCTAGCTGTGTTTTAATTTAGTGTATTTCCTGTCTATTTCTGGGTGTCAGACAGCACAAAAAGTTAGGGAAAAATATACCCTGTGCGGACACTGAAACTAAAATTTCTAGCAAAACTGAGGAATATTTAAAACCTTAGAAAGTGAGGGGAGGTTTCCTCAATGGAAAGAAGACAGTACTTAACACAAGGGAGATCTCCTTATTAGGGACATGAACAGTATTTAATATCTGACAATGGGACGTATTTTGAGATTTTGCTACCTTGGATACTCCTGAAGGATGACCCCATTTGTACAAGCTCAACCCCTTGTTTCAACTCATTATTTAGGAAAAACTAGTTCTAGAATGTTCTATGGAAGGTAGCATAATGACTGCTTTTCCTTTGTACAGACCACCATGCTAGAGAAAGGGAAGATGATTTTAATGGCTCCCTACTATAAAGAGTCTTCTCATTTCTTTCAACACCCTCTGCACTCTCTTCCTTTTACAGTTCTCTTGCTGAATTTAAACTACAAATCCCCAGAGGTGGACAGACCAGGGAAATAAACTCTTAAAAAAATTTATTGAATGAAAATGTTGAGGCTTGCTGTTGCCCTTATTTAACCCTTATGCCCTAGGCACTGACCCAAAAGCTCCATTACAGTAAATATAGCCCAGAACCAATGTTTTAACACATTGCTGCTATATCCAAGACTTAATGAATGTGGACTTTAATTGTGAAACTAAGGCAGCTATGAAAACCAAAAGTAGCTCCAGTCTTTTAAGAGCTTAAAAGACATAAACATGCTTGTTTTTAATAATCCCAATTACAAGGCATATTGTATTTAAACGGTTTTTAGGGCTTCTGAATTCTACATTTTATTTTATAGCGTTTAGCTGAGACTCAATGAATTTAGCAAAGGACTTTCCTGCCAGTACAGTGTGACATGAAAAAAAAAAATTCTGAGCTATATTTTCAAGAAGTTAAAGGGAAATATAGACCCAGCGTAATAAAAATCCAACCTAGGCACAAAACTTTGTAAGATCAATGGGTATACCAGCCGGTTTAAGACATTAAAATGCCAGCTTGTTTTATGTGGTGATAAATATGCCCTATCATGTCTTTATATTTTATTACAGCTACTTTATTCCCGGGTAGCCTCACATATGACACATCTAATCATTCATGTCATGAATAAAAAGCCAGCTGTATTCTATATAAAAAAGGGCTTTCAGACATAATGACATGACATTTCCTTTTTGCCTGTGTTCAGCTGTTATTTCAATATAGTCAGGACAATAGCAGATGCATATGACTGCTGGCAAGGGGTTGTGGGTATTTAGGAATAGAATGAGAAGAAAAGAGACACATTGTTGGTTTTTAATAACATTGTGAAGAATAGTGATATGGAGTAACCCAAAGCAATCACTCATAAATCAGTGTTCTCCTGTACATCCTAAACTGCTGAAAGGTGGTTTCTTGTTTGGTTGTGATAGGATTTTCTTGTTATTGTTGATGTCCTTTGTGCTGTTTGGGCAAGCCTAATTGTACAGTATACATTAAATGTGTTATTTATGGTCTATTCTTTATTACTGCTACTTTATTTCTTGATAGCCTCACAAATGAATCATGAAATTGTTTATGTCATACACATAAAACCAGCTGAATTTACTGTGAAGAAGAAAAAACATTTCCTATTTTTTATGCATCTGTTTTAGGCTACTAATTACAGTAAATGCCCAACTTACAAACGAGTTCCGTTCCAGGAGAATGTTCGTAAATCGGATTCATTCGTAAGTCTGATAAAGTGAATCTTCTACAGCTTTGACACAAATTTACAATGTAAAGCATAAAAAAACGAACACATACACAAATACTGTAAATAAAGTATTTTTACTTTTACAGTTACCTTAACCGCTTAAGGACTGCTCTATAGCAGATACACTGTTACAGAGTGGCATCTGTGTGCAAAGTCATGTGTATATATGTGACTTTGCATTTCCGGGTAGGGGGTGCGTGCCCTACCTGCGCCGCCATTCACAGCCACGGATGTCAATCATCAAGTCTCGGCCCGTAATTACCCGCCGGCACCTGGTGATTACCGAGCATCTCCACCGGGGAGGAAGGTTGTTTTGTTTACAAACAATTTTCTTCCCTCTCAGCTCGAGCACACTGCTCGGGATGGCTGTGCACAGTACAGCCATCACAATCAGTGTGCTTACAGTGAATAACACACCCCCACCCCCTATTAAAGCACACAGTTAACCCTTTGATCACCCTTCACATTAACCCCTTCATGCCCAGTGCTATTAGTACAGTGTCAGTGCTTTTTTTAGCACTGATCACTGTATTGGTGTCACTGGAGATGTCAGCGACATCAAGTTAGTTCCCCCCAGTGTCAGAATGTCCACCGCAGTCCCGTAATCCTGTTAAATAGTCGCTGATCGCCGCCATTACTAGTAGAAAAAAATCCAATTATCTAGACCGCCATTTGTAAATGCTATAACTTTCACGTAAACCAATTAATTTACACATATTGGGATTGTTTTTTAGCAAAGACATGTCTCAGGATACATTTTGGCCTTAATTTATGATGAAATTTGATTTTTTAAATTTTTTTACTGGACATGTTTAATAGCAAAAAGTCCAAAATATTGTTTTTTTTTTTCAAAATTGTTGGTATTTTTTGCTTAAGTGCAAAAAATAAAAACGCATGGGCAATCAAATACCACCGAAAGAAAGCTAAATTTTTGGCCAAAAAAGGACATAAATTTTATTTGGGTGCAGCGTTGCATGACCACGCAATTGTCAGTTAAAGTAATGGCTTGGTCATGAAGGGAGGATAAATTCTCAGGAGGGCAAGTGGTTAAAATGATGGTACAGTACAACTGTAAATAAAGTATTTTTGCTTTTACAGTTACCATAAAATGATGGTAAAGTACAGTACAATACCACAACTGGCATATAGTGGAAGAGTTACTAACTTGAGGAGGGAGGGTAGGTGGGAGATGGTGGAGCTGAAGGATCATCAGCAATAGGAGATGGAGGGCAAGATGGAATCTGGCCCACACCTGATGTTGACAGAGCTGAAGGATCATTGGCAATAGGAGATGGAGGGCAAGGTGGAATTTGGCCCACACCTAATTTTGATGGAGCTGAAGAATCATCAACAATAGGAGATGGAGGGCAAGATGGAATTTCATTCATTCCTGATGTTGATGAACGGCTGCTGAAACCTTTTTGTATCACTCTACGTTGGCGTCCTGTGCCTCAAGAACTAACAGTGCCTCTTCGTAAAGAAAATCCCCTTGCCATTTCCTGTGTTGTGATCTCTTTGGTTCTTCAGTTACATCTTCCTCTTGGCTCTCTTCATCTTTTCGTTGGGACTCTAATTCCATTAGGTCCTCATTAGTAAGCTCCTTATGTTGCACAGCAAGGAGTTCAATGACGTCATCCTCTTGCAGATCTAGCTCCAGCTAAGGGTCACTAAGTTGTTGAAGACCTCTTTGGACTCCTTACCCATCTTCTCAAGTCCGTGAATTTCATGAACAAATTGCGGGCAAAGGCTCTTCCAAACCCCATTCATGGTTACAGCAGAAACCTCACATGGAGCCTTGTAAGGTTTCGGCCTTGTAGATGTTCTAGTCCTTCCAGAATTGTCCAAAGGTTTTTCCTGTTTCATCAATAGCCTTCACTGTTTGACGAAAAGTGTGATGTAAATAATATTTCTTGAAAGTTACCATAACTCTGTTCATAGGTTGGATGAGCGCCGTAGTATTCAGTGGCAGATGCACTACTTTGATGTTGGGATGAAAGTCATCCATGAATTGGGGGTGACCTGGTGCATTGTCAAGCAGCAAAAGAATGTTGAATGGGATATCTTTCTCCAAGCAATATTTCTCTATCTCTGGGATAATGTGGTGGGAAAAAACAGTTCTGGAAAATGGCCTGTGTAACCCAGGCTTTGTAGCACCACACAACAGGTAGAGAGCCCTTGGCTATGTTTTTGAGGGCTCTTGAGTTCTCTGAATGGTAAACTAAGAGAGGCTTTAGTTTTCATATCGCCAGAAGCATTGCCACCAAACAACAGAGTAAGTCTGTCCTTTGCTGCTTTGCAGCCTGGCATCACCTTTTACTCTTTACTGAGGTAACTTCATTCTGCCATCCTCTTCCAGTACAGTCTTGTCTCATTATGTTAAAACCCTGTTGGGGTAAATAAGCACCTTCATCAATAATTTCTCTAAGTGTTGCTGGAAATTCTTGGGCAGCTATGGTATCTGCACTTGCAGCCTCGCCACTTACTTTTACATTGTGAAGGTTGGCTCTAGCCTTGAATCTGTTAAACCATCCATGGCTGGCAGTAAAAGATGCACACTGTTCACCCCATTTTTTCTTCAAGTCTTCAAACAGGCTTTTAGCTTTTTCTTGAATAAGCATTAAGCTGAGTGGGAATGCTGATACTGATCCTACATCCACGCACTGCGAAGTTCCTCCATCTCCTCTATCACTTTACCACTCTTTTTGGATATTATTTTTGACTTCATAGGCACAGCAGACTTCACATATTCCATGATCTTGTCCTTGTTCTTTAGAATTGTGCCAGTGGTTGAACGATTTATGTTATAAGAACAAGCCATGTCTACCATCTTTTTGCCTTGGTTCAATTTCTCAATTATTTTCAATTTTGTTTCCATGGTTATTGCTTTGCGCTTCCTAGCAGTCCTCTCCACATCACCACTGCTTTTCCTCTTGCTTCAGGACATCCTCGGCTCTATACAGTACACTCTTGCACTGTACAGTAAGCAAACAGCAGCACAACGGTGACAATGTGCAGCTGTGACAATGTCCGGCAGACACATGAGCTACTTCTGTGATTTGTTCGCATCTACGAATGTTCATAATGCGAGGTCTGTTCGTATCTGTGAAAGTTTGCAGCTTGAATATTTGTTATTCCTACTGTAGTAGGAATTTAAACTAATTGCACCTTGAACACAATAATGGTTTATTTAAATAAAAAAGCAAAGTGGGTGTGTTGCTCATGGTTCTATTCTTTTTTTTTTTTTTTTTTTTTTTTTTTACTGCTACTTTTTTCCTGATAGACTCACAGATGAACTAATACATTATTTATGTCATTAAATGGTTGGTTCATATTTGCCAAATAATACCTATGCAGGTAAGGGGTGCCTGTAGTTAAAAACAAACTGTGCAGCGTTAACCAAAGTTTAAAATCACCCTTGCTATTGGTGTAGACCATTTACGTACCTCCTGAAATCTGGTGGAAAAACTCTGAGATGGCATAATCCCCATCCTGCCTTGCTGCTAAGACATTGCTAAGACACTCCCAGTCGATTCAAACCCCCTTGAATGTGCTCTCTTTCCCCTGATGGAGTAGCTCTGAGTTTAGCAATGCTGCTATGGAGGGGTAGTGAACCACACATGTGGAGGTTTTAGATCTCATCCCTGTGTTAATGGGGGTGAGCAATAATGGCTGGAGTGGTTTATCAATGCCCTAGCAACAAGTCAGGAAGGGATAATGATTTCTGGGAATTTCTCAGTCAGGCTTCAGAAAGGTACATAATGACCCACATCTATAGCAAAGGCATTATCCAACTGTAGTCAAAGCTGCACAGCGTGTTTTATTTACAGGCATCCTTTACCTGCATAGGCAAATATTTTGGTAAAAATGGAAGTAACCTTTGAAACTTCAGTAAAGATGTAAAGTCTCTTTTAAAACAAGTGGGGTAAATCTATTTATAGGACAAATTGGATGCAATCTATTCAACATCAAGGTGCAATCAATTTATAGAACAAGCAAGTGCAACCTATTTACAGAACAGGCAGGTGCAATCTAATTATAAAACATGCCAGGTGCAATCTATTTATAGAACATGCAGGTGCAGTCTTTTTCATAGAGTAAGCTGGGTGCAATCTGTTTATAGAACAAGCTGGGTGCAATTTATTATTAGAACAAGCAGGTGCTATCTGTTTATAGAACAAGCTGGGTGCAATCTATTTTAAGAACATGTCAGTGCAATCTATTTATAAAACAAACAGGTGCAATCTATTTATAGAACAAGCTAAGTGCAATCTATTTATAGAACAAGCTGGGTGTAATCTATTGATAGAACAAGCTGGGTTAAATCTATTGATAGAACAAGCTGGGTTAAATCTATTGATAGAACAAGCTGGGTGAAATCTATTGATAGAACAAGCTGGGTGAAATCTATTGATAGAACAAGCTGGGTGAAATCTATTAATAGAACAAACTGGACTCAAGCTATTTATAGAACAAGCTGGGAACATGCTGGATGCAATCTACTTAAAGAACAAAAGCATGCAATCCATTTATAGAACATGCTGGGTGCAGTTTATTTATAAAGATGGCATCCCATTCCAGTCAATTCAAATCCCCTCACTGATTCAGTGAGTGTTTGGTAAATGTTTTATTCTTGTTTTTGTATTCCTCTTCATCCTATTCTTCAAATACTGGTTCTTTTTCTGGTTTGTGCTTTGTTTTGTTTTTTCTCTTGTATTTACTTATTTTACATTTTTTCTTGTCTTCCTACTTTATTATTATAAATTAGTCTTTTGCAAGATTATGGCTGTGTTGAATAGATGTTTTCGACTGATGTCCAGTGGATTCCATACTAGTACAACAATAGGTTTCTGGTGCTGTTTGATTACATTACTTGCTTAATTTTGTTAAGTATTTGTAAGGATTTCTGGTTGAGGTTCAGGCATGATAACTTCAAAGTGCACTTCACATGCAACACCCCTTTTTAGGCAGAATGGAATGTGTTCAACAATACTCCCATTATCCTCATAACTTAACACAAAATTGTCTGATTGACCAACTGGGTCTGATGGTAAAGTAGACAAGAGTAGCAAAGTGGTGTTGAAACTTGACAGAGAATCAGGGGTTAGGCAGGACCAGCATTCATGATTGAACAACCACAGCAAAGTGTAAAAGCTGAGGTGATATCAGGAGCTAGCAAAGGACCAGTCTAATTGCAAACAATAATGTTAAACAGGAAAGTTGGGTCAAATACCAGGAAAATACACAAGCAAACCTTGAGAGTGCTGAAGGATATCTCAAAACCAAGCACAGTGCAGTAGGCAGAGATTCCACTTCAAATTTGCAGAAGAGTAGTCTGCTAGGATGCCAGGCATATGTTCTCAGGACCTCTTAAACTTTATGATTTTTGTACTTGAAACTTTTATTTATCACCATAGGAGTGACTTTTCTTGTCAGTGTTTGCTGCATAACTTTTAATTTGATATGCATACCAATGATTGTTGGAGTGGTGATTGCTTGAGGTGATTGTAGCCGTATTAGTGCATTTGCGACAGAAACAATTGAGTATTGTCCGTGATACTTTGAAGAAGGGGACATACCCCGAAAGCTTGTCCTCAAAATTGTATGTT